GGAACAGGTGAGTGGGCGGCGCCAGGCCATGGCAGGTGCAAGCGAAACCTGATCACCCCTCCGATTGCCCCACAGACAGAGATGGGTGGCAAGACCACCATTCAGCTCCCAGGCGCTGAGGGAGCCAGGCGGAAGTGGGGGGGGGGGAGGTCCAGGCTCTAACCGACAGCCCCACAGGTGGCATGGTGGAGCAGGTGAGGGGATGGTGCCAGGCCACAGCAGGGTTCCAGGCAGGGCTGCGGGGCTGCAAGGCTGGAGGCTCAAGCTGGGACTTTGAGCTTGGGGGTGCAAGCTGGAAGCCAATCCCCGCAGACCCCCCCAGAGAGACCCTCACCCGTGCACAAATTCGTGCACCAGGCCTCTAGGGTTTAATAACCCCTTAGTACAGACACCATGCTAAATGCTTTCCATGCATTATTTCGCTTATTACAATTCTAAGAGGGAAGCACTATTAGAATTGCCATTTTATAAATGAAAAAATTGAAGCTCATATAAGTTAATAAATTATCATGAAGTCACAGGGATAACAGTGTTGGAGTTGTCTGATTTTATAACCATGTTCTTAGTTCCTGAACTGCTTCCCTCACCTGTCACGGGTGAGAACACCCACCCCATAGTCCTCAATGAAGCTCAATTCTCTCCGATCCACTTCTCAGTAGTGCTAAGGACATTACTGGATCTCAATAAAAGTCAGATAGAAACTGCTGGCCCTGGCCAGTGTGGCTCAGTGATTAGATTGTTGGCCCGTACACCAAAAGGTCACGGGCTTGTCCAGGGCACATACCTGGGTTGCAGGTTCAACACCTGGCCCTGGTAGAGGAGTGTAACCAACAAATGTGTCTTTTTCATACTGATGTTTCTCTCCTCTCTTTCCCTCTCTCCCCCCACCCTTCCTTCCACTCTCTCTAAAACTCAATTGGAAAAAAAAAAAAATATCCTCAGGTGAGGATTAACAACAAAATTTTTTTTTTTAAATTGCTGGAAAATTTGACATTCTTGTTCGATCTATTGTGAAATTATATTTCCTCATAACCTGACAGTTTAAAGAGACAGGGGGAGGTGCAAAACCAAGTATGTGTATTAGGCAGGATGGCCCAGTGGTTGAGAGCTTGGACTTTGATGCCTAAATCCCAGCTTGGCCAAATTCTTGCTCTGAGAACTCAAATCACTTCTCCGTGGCTCTGCCCCCTCCTACACAAAACGAGGCTAATGCTACCTGCCTCCGGGGGTCACTGTGAAAACCACGTGAGATGAGGCATGTAAAGCACTGAGCACAGTCCTGGACACGCATCCGGGGCCTAATCAACGCTGGTTATTACAGTGAGGATCATCATTGTCATCGTCGTGGTCATTTTGCCACGCAGCTGTGGCCGGGGCTCTGGATCTTTGCATCTGGCTGTGATGGGACCGAAAGTGAGCCTCCTAATAAGGATTGGGTGCCCAGATCAGTGGGTGGCGCTCCTGTCACTGTCACTTTGCAGGTGCAGGGGTCAGTGGTACCCCAGAAGAAAAAGGGCGCAGATGAAGGTCCCCAAGGCCAACACATGATATTTCAAGAGCCCAGTGGACTTTGAGGAAGGGCAAAGGGGCAGCTGTGTTGGAGGGAAAACAAGAATCCAACCAGCCTCAACCTGACGCTTCCAGGAAGTGGGAGGGACGAGGAGTCTCATTCCATCCGGTACTGGCTCACCTCCCTTCCTAACCCTGCCCTGCCCAGCAACTTCACAACACGCCACCAGGAGGCCCCCATGAGTGCAGTTCTATAATGGCATGGGAACAAGAAGCAAGTGAAACCCAAGACACCTTTGCTTCCAGAAAAGAGTCACAAGAAAGCAGTTCATCAGCCCATGACAATGAATATATAGATTATCTTGCTTTCCTAAAGGCCATGTACTGGTGTTCTTCCACTCCCTGGAATCTAACCAAAAACCAAGGCCAAGGACCAAAAACCTTGCTATACCCCCTCTGAGCAGTCATAGGGTTAGAAATCCTAAGCACTAAAGGCGGTGCATTTTAGTTGCAGGAGAGTCCCTAAAGCCCTCTCTCAGTAACTATCGACTTCTACTGTAGACGCTGTAAATAAAGTAGCTTATCTAAATAAACCTGAAGTGAATGGGAGAGGTGCTAGGGACTGGCACATCGAAGGCAATGAAGAGTAATGACTGGCCGCCTGGCCACAGGGAGATGACACAGCTTATGAAATGCAATCACAGGATAAGAGGCTGGCAGAGCTGCTGGGGCCACGTAGTGTAGGTGCAAAGAGCTGTCCTGTCTTCACGGGCCAAAGGGTGCCACTGCACCGCCACTGGGCCTGGCCACAGATATTGTGGCTCTTGGGATGCTATATGATGTTAGGCATGGCCAGATGACTTACTTGGGTCAATGACATGTGAATGAGTATTACTTCTGGGCAGAAAGCTTTCCCATGCTCTTCCAACACTTCCAGACGGGGGCAGCTCTGCCAGCCCGAGTCCCCAGGTAAGGATAACAATGACACAGAGCCTGGCTGGCATGGCTCAGTGATTGAGGATCAACCTGTGAACAGTTCGATTCTCAGTCAGGGCACATTCCCAGGTTCTGGGCTTGATCCCAGTGTGGGGTGTGCAAGAAAATAGCCAATCAATGATTATCTTCCACCACTGATGTTTCTATCCCTCTTTATATCTGGAATCAATAAAAATATATTTTGTAAATAAATGACACAGAGACAACCTTCCCGCTGACCCACAGAGGACAAGTAGCGAGGACAAGGAATAAACTTCTGTTTCATTTCCGGGTTGCTTGCTACTACCATATAATATAATCTATCCTGACTGAAACATCCTAAAATGTAAATGAGGTCAATCACATTAAAAGGTATGTGCATTATCTTTTTGGTAAATTACCATTCAAAAATAGTCAATGTTATGTTTTGTGGCTTATAAGATAATTTTCAATTATAGGGAAAATCTACTTGCTCCAATGTTGCTGGATAAACGAGCCATTGACAGAATATGAACTAAATGGAGGAGAGACAGATCCAGTTTCCAAACAACTTCTTTCTCTAGCGAGGCTCCGGTCTTTACAAAACGCACCTGCACCATGTCAGGCAGAGCGAAGGCGGGCTCCTGTGCTAAAGCTGCAGAACCAGTCCATGTGCGCGGGGTGGCATCTACACTTCTGTCAGTGCTGAGGGGCTCTGGTCCCCAACGGGGGGTGGAAGGCCCGATTACATATCTGTCCGCACTCTCACGGAAGGAAAACCGCCATGCTGTTGAGTGAGTCAACAACTTGAGAATATAGTCTTTTTAAGTGTACAAGGAATATTTACAAAATTTACCTCATGCCGGGCCCACAAGCAAGTTTCAGGATGAAAACCATATGGGTCATTTTTTTCTGACCAAAAGCAATTAAACTTGAGAACAACAGCTATAGGATAACTGGGAAAATCGTGTATATTTGGAAAACAGGAAACGTACTTTAAATAAGCCAAATGCATATACATCCTCTCAGTTAATCCTCCTCTCATAATGCATCTTGGAAATGCAGGAACCGAGACTGGAAAGAGAACATCATTTGCTCATATTTACCCAGTTAGTCATGGTGAAACCAGGACTCAAAACCAGCCTAGAGAACTCTAGAACCCAGGCGTTAGTGGTATTCTCTTTACGTTGCATCTCACTGGAATTCATAGATCTTACTTCATTTCAGAGCCTCCACGGATCTGATGTTTCTCCTTTTACAGCAACTGTGAAGGGGTGGGAGACCCAGTCCCAGCATGTGGTGGAGGCGCGGACCTTGGCCCTATTGTGTAGAGATGCGTGTCCCTTTAGTTCTTGCTCCTCTGGGTCCCCTACTGGAACTGAGGTAAGCGGGCTAGAGTAATAGAGAGGGGTCTTTCAGGCTGATCTTCCCAGGAAGACCTCCTTTCCTTTTAAAGTTTTTTCCCCGCGTGGGCACAAGTGGTAAGTGAACAAAGAAATACAGAAGGAAAAGTTACTTCCAGATGGCTCCCCATCTTGCTCTAATGCAGATTAAGTAAAGAATATCCCAACATATCATCAGGCAAACATGAGTATTAAGATCATTCATATTATATAAATGGAACGGAATAAAAATTCAACCTATATCCTGACTTAAATTTGGGGCTAGGGCCTCAGAGCCAGAAGACAGACAACTGACAGCACCCCGATTCTGAGCAAGGTGGAGCCCACAATACCTGAGGTGAGAGGCAAGACCGAAGTGTTCCTAACCTTTTAGGCTTGGCCTCCTGAACTCTAGCTACCAAACTACACCCCTCTGTGGCAAGGCTACTTAACACTGTTATTCTCCAACTCAACCCCCTGGTGTCAAAATACATTGTTAGCAAAATCCCAAGACATCCAGAGCTTCGGAGGCTCAGCATCTTGCCCTATGCTGCGAGGGCAATGCTATCTGCCCTCCCCCATGGGCTCACAAGGGTAACTTAGTCCTGAGTGCCCAGGACTATGTTTCATGCAGGAGAAGGCTTGAAAATAAACAGGAAATCTGACAGTGGTCCATATCCTAGAAAGCTGCTCAAAGTGCTGAGAACTCACCAGGTGGCCCTGAGAGGGAGAAGGCTGAGAGGTATGAAGACAGAGGGCCAGGTTGGCTAAAGGTCCTTAAGGTAGGAATTTTCACTCCTTCCTTTGGATCCATTTCTTCCACTGCAGAAGCCACACTGGCCCAAGGTGAGGGAGAAGGCTTGCTGGGTTAATAGTGTTCACGGTGCTCAGCTTAAGGCTTGGGTGCTCCCCAGCCCCACCCCAACTGCTCCAACTCCATGCCATCAGGCCTTAGGCCCCCGAAAGTCAATGTGCCAATCAGTAAGTGATCCAAGTCCCACCATGAATTTAAGATCAATAAGTCTAACATTAAAGTACCCCATTATCCAATCAGCAGTGTGATTACATCCTTTGGATCTGTGAAGAAGGGCTGACGACCACTTCCTGATAGGAGGTTATGGGCAGACCCCAAATGAGAATTCAGCCCAGTTGTGTCTAGAGGCTAGACAGATGGTGTGGGGCCCCTGGGGTGAGCGATGGTCCAATGCCTTCAATGAAGTTGTTCCATTGGTCATAGTTCTCTTTCAGGTCTGGAAAAAACACACAAAACCCCCCAGGAGGATTAGGTAAGTCATTGTAAGGTCAGATCAAAGAGTACTGACCACAAACTTGGTGGGTCATCCTAGAGCGAAGCACCTGGGATGCTAAGGACTGGTTGTAATGGTGGTAGCAGTAATGGTAACTACTATACATTCAGTGCCTTTATGAAGATGCTTCATAAATGACTTGCTTAATCCACAATAACTCAATAATGATAGCAAAAAAGTAATATTTGTTGAAGAATAACTCATTGTGGGAACTGTGCTGCCCATGCACTGTTTGATTTAATTTTCACAATATCTCTATTAGCTAAGTACTATATTTTCTGGCATATAAGATGACCCTCTAATTTTACAGTTAAAACATAGGTTTAGGCCTATATTCGCTGTATAAGACTACACCCCCACTTCAAAGAAAAGACTTACTTTGCTGTCAAGATCTGCAGGTAATTTTTGTGCAATTTTGGTCTTTTGCCCCCGATTTTCGGTTGACTTTTTTTTGGTTCAAAAGTCGTCTTATACGCCGGAAAATACGGCGTATAAATACTGTTATTAGCCCTACTTTATAGTTGAGGAAACTAGGCTCAAAGATGCTACCTGAGTTTTCCAATGTCATCAAAGCTAGTAAGTGACAGAGTTCACACCTTGGTCAGAAAGGGTGAGGAAATGGGAAGTCTACTTCCAAGCTCGGAGATGGTGCTGAGCAAGGAAAGGTCCTTTGCATGCCAGCCAGTGGATGCAAATCCAGGGCCACTCAGTGAAGGGCAGAAGGAAGAGGGTGGCAACATCGTGAAGTAACACTGGGAATGATCCAAGAGAGGGCACTGGGTCACGGGCAGGTGGGTCTAACTACACGGTAAGAACAGTCAGAAAGGGTCTACGGCCTCAGGCTGAGGGAGAAGGGCACAGCCAAGCAAGCAAAGCACCTTCTTGTTCAAAACAAACACAATCTGCCGAAACTGGTTTGGCTCAGTGGATAGAGTGTCGGCCTGGGGATTGAAAGGTCCCAGGTTCGATTCCGGTCAAGGACATGTACCTTGGTTGCGGGCACATCCCCAGTAGTGGGTGTGCAGGAGGCAGCTGATCGATGATTCTCTCTCTCATCGATGTTTCTAGCTCTCTGTCCCTCTCTCTTCCTCTCTGTAAAAAAATCAATAAAATATATTTAAAAAAACAACAACAACATGCAACCTGAGACAGAAGGCAGGGCCCACTCTCCTTCAAAAGAACCTGGCACGGGATAGGTCCTCAACAAATAAATGCTATCGATACATATTCATTAATTCAAAAAATACTGAACATACCCATATGTGCCACACTCTGTTCGTGGTTCCAAAGAGTCCATCCACAAACAAACAGAAATCCTCCTCCTCAGAGAGCTCACACTCCAGTGGGCAGAGATAACAATAGACATCATAAATTAGATAGGATGTGGGAAAGGCGATCAGTGCTATGGGGGGAAGAGCCAGATAGGAGAAGCAGTGGTGGTGCCAAGGAGGGGGTGAGGAAGATAGGGACAGTATAATGTTTTTATTTATTTTTTATTTTTTTTTTAAATATATTTTATTGATTTTGTACAGAGAGGAAGGGAGAGAGATACAGAGTTAGAAACATCGATAAGAGAGAGTCATCGATCAGCTGCCTCTTGCACACCCCCTACTGGGGATATGCCCGCAACCAAGGTACATGCCCTTGACCAGAATCGAACCCGGGACCCTTCAGTCCCCAAGCCGACGCTCTATCCATTGAGCCAAACTGGTCCCGGCAAGGGACAGTATAATGTTTTTAAAAGGCTGGTCAGGGTGTGCCTCATTGGGAAGGTGAGATTTGAGGAAAGACTTGAAGGAGGTAGGAGCGAGCCAGAAGACTGCACAGGAAGAAAGTTCCAGGCAGGAAGAGCACTACAAAGGCCTGAAGCCAGACAGAGTGCCCGGAGTGTTGGAGGCTTGTGTGGCAGGAGTGAGGTAGGCCAGGGGAAGAGATCAGTGAGTTCAGGAGGCCACATCATGGGTTCTAGCAGGACAATGGACACTGGCTCTGACTCCCAGAGAAATGGAGAGTCACTGGATGGTTCTGAGCAGAAGAGTGACAACGTCTGCCTTGCTTTCTAACAGATCACGCTGGCTGTCATATTAAAAAGATTGTGTAGGCCCTGGCCAGTTTGGCTCAGTGGATAGAGCATTGGCCTGTGAGCTGAAAGGTCCCAGGTTTGATTCCAGTCAAGGACACATGCCTGGGTTGCGGGCTCGATCTCCGGGGATATGTAGGAGGCAGCCAATCAATGATTCTCTCTCATCATTGATGTTTCTATCTCTCCCTCTCCCTTCCTCTCTAAAATCAATTAAAAAAATAGTTTAAAGTAAATAAATAAAAAGTGACAATAGTAAGAGAAAAACAAAAAAAGATTGTGTAGGGAGGCATGCTGACAGGAGGGAGACCAGTAGGAAACTGATACAGTAATTTAAGTTTAGGTGAGAGCTGACTTGCACAGCATGGCAGTTGTGGGGTGATGACAAGTGGTTTTTGAAAGGTAGAGCTGATAGGATTTTCTAAGGGATGGGATGGGAGGTGTAAGAGAAGAGAGATGAATGAGGACTTAGGCTCGAGTAACTACAAGGATGGAGTAACTATTATTTGAGAAGAGAAATACTGCAACTGAAACTGGTCTTTGTGATGTTTATTAGATGTGGAGTAAGTGGGTTATATAAATCCATGGGAGAGATAAAAATGGAGATATAAACTGGGGACTTGCCAGCCTGGAGATGGCATCTAAAGCCATGAGACCAGATGACATTAGGAGATCAATAGAGGAGAGGTCCTAGCACTGAGCCCTGGAAGCAGCCAAGTAGACAGAGGAGGAGAAATCCTGAGACAGGAGACAGCCACAGTGGGTTGTCTTGGAAGGATGGCATCACCGCTCAGTCAGCCGTGCTGAGAGCCCCACTGAGCTGAGGAATGGGAACTGACCACTGGATTCAGCTAAGGCCTGAGGAATCATGTAGTCTGGCCCTGCCAAGTTAGGGGTGAGTTAATTAATGTTTGAGCAAACAGCAGACTAATTTTTAAGTGGATATTATATATATATATATATATATATATATATATATATATATATATATATATATATATATATCTGATTTCAGAGAGGAAGGAGAGGGAGAGAGAGGGAAAAAAAAAAAATCAATGATGAGATAATCGTTGATCGGCTGCTTCCTGCATGCCCCCCACTGGGAATGGTGCCTGCAACCTGAGCTTGTGCCCTGACCGGAAATTGAACCGTGAACTCCTGGTTCATAGGCTGACGCTCAACCATTGAGTCATGCCGGCCGGGCAGTTGATCATTTTGTATGACCCTTGAAGGAAGTTATAAATTTCCAAAGGGCCCTTGGCAGAAAAAAGGTTGCCCACCCTGATGGCAAAGAGAAAAGAATTGCTGGCACAACCATCTTGAGCAGACCAAAGAGGATGAGGTGCCGGAGGTGAAGATAAAGGAGAAGGTGTAAAACAGTCTTCCAGGAGAGGAGGAGAGACAATGACTAGGTGGGGGGAGGAGCTGCATGTAGTTAATACGAGAGAAGCCCCAATCTTCTCCGTGGACAGTAATATCCCTGTGTCATTGGAATGTGTGCTCTCGGTGGTGTTTTTTAAGAGTGGTGAGAAGTTCTGCTAAGCCTCTTCAGCCTATTTTAGTTTCCCATGTGGCAAGCTACTGTGCTGCCACCAAAAAGCTTTCTCTCTTTGCAAAGCTAATTAACTGGAGCAGAGAGGCTCTGCTTTCTCTCAGACTCTGTCTTATCTCTCAGCAGCTAGATACTTCAAGAGCCTCCCAGCCAGGCTCTCTGCCTCTCAACCTGCCCCGTCTTGCCCATCCTCCACGTTGCAGCTGGAATGCAAATACAAGTCTAATCATGACATCCCTGTTTAGAACCCAAGGACTCTCATGGCCTGTGGGGGGGAAATTCAAGCTTATTTCAGCAAATGCATGGGATTCTAGATCTGGTTTCTTCCTATTTCTCTATTTGCTTTGTCTAGGGAGCCTCCTTTCCCTCTTGTCTCCCGAAGACTGAGTACTCGCATCCATGGGTCATGAGAGTCACAGGCACAATGGTAGAGGTAAATCGGCGAATCTCTCTGGTCCTTGTAACCCTGCAGTATAACTTCCAAACCACTGAAGTTTCCAGTGGTGGTGAGGGCTGACGCTGTGGCAGAGCCCTTTCCCTGCTGCTGGAGTGTGTGGCAGGGAGGGTATGAGAGGGTCTCTCCTAAGGACAGGAGGCTGGATCCAAGACCTCTCTCTGCAGGTCTTGCCATTTAGCTGGGGTGATTTATGATATTAGTCACAATCTTCCCGTGTTTTGTTTTTAATTAAAGCACTCTGCAAATTTAACCCACTTCTTATCATTACCCCCTCCACCATACAGATAAGTGATGAGTTAGATCAGAGGTAGTGGAGTAGAGAGATGTGAATATTCCATTTACAGTGAGGAAACCCAAGGCTCAGAGAAGTTAAATGACTAGGTCAAGGTCATTGGGGTAGTAAGAGGCAGAGTCAGAATCTCCAGACTTTCAGCTAAGTGTTATTTCTATAAGTCTGTGTAACTCTCTCCTTCAGTCAGAGTTTCCTTTAGCCATAATCTCCCTGATCCAAGACTTATCAGTATAGACCACTTTGCATGGAAATCTAAGGAGCCCCAGGCTGCCTCAGAAGTCCCAGTTCTGTCCTTACCAAGGTGCTTCTGCAGGAAGGCCAGCATGGCCCGTACCACTGTCTCTTGACCTTCATAGGGGTCCAAGGTCCCACGGTTTTGAGTGGAGAAGAATTTACCAATCCAGTTCCCAGACACAAAAGCAAAGTCAGTTTGACTCCGATGAACAGAACCACTAGAGGAAAAGAAAAACGAATAACTGGTAGTTTTGAGGTCAGGGAACACAAATATTTGTTAAGCACCTACTATGTTCAAGGTACTTTATGTGCATTATTTCATTTTCACAATAAGGGAAGAATATTCCCCTTTGACAAGATCAGGAGAGAAATGGTTTGCCCCTGGTCACACAGCTAGTGAGGGGACAGCATGAGGATTTGAACACAGGTGTGTGCTTGGCTTCAGAGAGGCCTCAGCACCCGGACCACAATGCCTGATGGCGCAGGGAAAAGGCTGAGTTAGCCAGAGTGGGGACAGGGCCAAGGAGGCAAGGTCTGCAGCACCTGCCATTCCTGTTATCATAAATTGCAACACCATGGCTTTTACCTGGTGACTTCCGAACATTCATAAACATGTCAGCTCCTGTCTTCAGAACTGTACCACAAAGTAAACAGGAAAAAGGAACTTAAGTGAGGGCAAGTGCTTGAAAAGAGGCTTTCTGGATTAGAATTTAAGTCCTTTGGTATCAAATACATGCAATGCATAGAATTTCATGACTATGTTCATTTGGGACTAAATTACTTAAAACTAACATTACTAAAAACTAACATTAGTCAAATCAATAAGGAAGACAAATCTAAATGCTAAATTTTGATATCATGCAAAAAAAAACCCAAAAAAAAACCAACCACACCTGACTTTACAAAAATGTATTTTTTGGCCGGGCCAGCTTGGCTCAGTGGTTGAACATTCAACCTATGAACTAGGAGATCACAGTTCAATTCTCGGTCAGGGCACACGTCCATGTTGTAGGCTCGATCCCCAGTAGGGGGCCTACAGGAGAGAGTCAATCAATGATTCTCTTTATCTTGATGTTCCTTCCTCTCTGAAATCAATAAAAAATATTTTTAATGTATTTTTAAAGCACATGAAAAAGCATAAAGACTAATATTGAATACTTGAATGTCCAGCACTCAGTTTAAGAAAGAATACATTACCAGCAGTTAAATCCCCTGTGTACCCAATTGCTCCCACCGCCTTTTCCTCTGCGCTCACAATGATCCTGAATCTGACTGGCCACTAGTTCTGAGCAGATTCCTATCCTCCGGGGACTGTGAAGATGGCATTTCAACTACCTGCAAGGGTTTCTGGAAGATTCCAAGGTCTGTGGCATGCATTTACTTATTGTTTTGCTTTAATGGGGCCTGGGACCCTTGAAGCATGTGTTTTAGGCTCGCGTGCAGGACAGGAGCAAGTCACAGCCTCATCAGCGAGCCTTCAGCCTGCACCTGGAGCTCCAGGCCACTTCCTATGCATGGTATGTTTCTTAAAATTTCTAAAAAATTTTCTGTGAAAAATAGCTCATGAAAGAAAGCTGATAGTGCTGATGATGGAGTGAAGTGTGGTTTCTTTTAGCCAGAACATAGATGGTTTCTGGAAGATGTCTGAATTTAGGTAGTCATGAAGGTCTCTAAAAATCTGTCTTATTAATGTCAAAGGTCTATCATATCCACATTATTTTTTTAAGAAATATGCATTTTTATTGATTTCAGAGAGGAAGGAAGAGGGAGAGAAAGATAGAAACATAAATGATGAGAGAGAATCATCGACTGGCTGTCTTCTGCATGCCCCACACTGGGGATCGAGCCCGCATCTCATGCATGTGCCCTGACCAGGAATCAAATTGTGATCTCTTGGTTCATAGGTCAGTGCTCAACCACTGAGCCACGCTGGCCGGGCTTTACCCACATTCTTCAAAAGACCCAATAAAATTCCCAAATGAGGTTAGAGATATTGGAGTCCACCCAGACCCACACTTTCCTCCCCAACACACAATCCCACAACTCCCTTTTCCCAGAAGTGAACAGACAAATCCTGTCATGTAAATTGGTGAAGAAATCACTGCAGAACGAAGTAGAGAAGAGCAGATACAAAATTGTAAAGGAAATAAGGTTTTGAAAATCAGGAAGCATTCAGGTATCCCATTAACAGGCAGAGCTTCCCAAAGTAATCAAGGGAGTGGCAGGGCACTGGGAGTGTGGCCTGGGAGATTACTTACAGGACAGTGATGATCCTGCACTGTTCATGCTGGGCACACACCTTCTTCATCAAGTTGACACTCTCCACTGTCTGGAATTTCTCAGCATTGATGAAGAATACTGGGCCTCGGGCCTTTGAGTAAAAGTCACGTTCCAGAGGGAACATCCAAGCATCCAGAGCCACAGCACACCTGCAACAGGATCAGACATTGGAAACTGCCATGCAGAAGCGGTTAGGGCAGTGGGGGAAGGCATTGAGATCTTCTGAAGGTTCAGAAAGCCAAGGAGGTTCAGAAAGCCAGGTTCCACACCCTTCAGTGAGGATCTCGGATAGAGACCACTTTCACCTGTTGCCAAAGATCCTTCTACATTTTAAACTCACTGAGAGCAAGGGTCAGACCTCTCCTTGCCCTGGACCTGCTCTCAGGCAGCTGCCTCCCTTGCACAGAATGACCCTTCGTTCGTTTAATCCTTCACTCAGCATTCTTTGAGTATTGACTCTGTGCTTAGCCGTATGCTCTGGATATAGGGGAAAATGACACAGTTCTGTTGTTGTTTTGTTTCCATCATCACCCGAGGATATATTTCCATTGATTTTTAGAGAGAGTGGAAGGGAGGGGGAGAGGCAGAGAAAGAAACATCGATTGGTTGCTTCCTGCACGTGCCTGAACCAGGGCTGGGGAAGGAGCCTGCAAACAAGGAATATGCCCTTGACCAGAATCAATCTTCAGTCCACAGGCCAATGCTCTATCCACTGAGCCAAACCAGCTAGGGCTAAACAACACAGTTCTTGCTCTCAAGGAGTCTCAGTCGAGAAAGGGAGGCAGGACAAATTAAAAAAATACAGCCTAGCATCCTGATTGCACAAGCTGCTAAGTGAGCCCAGACCATACAAGGCGGAGGCTAGGAAAAGCCTCTTGGTGACACAACTCAGAGATCTAGCCAGTGTGTCAACAATCAGTAACCAAGGGCAAACGAAGGCCCTAAGATACACACACACACACACACACACACACACACACACACACACACCCCACCCCAAATGCTCCTCCAGCCTTCTCCATCTCAGTAAAGGGCAATCATCTCACTCAAATGATGGATACACAAATGAAAAACCTTGATTCCTCTCTTTCTCTCACCTCATACATCACATAGTCCTGAAAATTCTAAAACATGTCCTGATTCCATTCATTTCTCTCCACCCCATCGTAATGCAAAGCCATCATCTCACCTGGACCCCGAAATAGCTCCCTCTAGCTATCCTCCCTGCTTTCTGACCAGCCACTGTTCTCTCTTCACACAGTAGCCAGAGGGATCTTTTAAAATGTAAATAAGTTGTTTTTTCTCTGCTTAAATCCTTCAAAGGTTTCCCATCAAATTTAGAATAAAACCTAACTTCCTCACTCTGGCCGAAGGCCCTGCGATCTGCCCTTTTATCTTTCGATCACATCTTTCATCTCTTCCCCTTCACTCACCGTGCTCCTCCCACACCCACGCAGCAAGCTTCCTTCTATCTCAAGGCCTGTGCATTAGTAGCGGTTCCCTCAGCCTAGAATAATCTTCCTTAGACCTTTATACGCCAGCCTACTTTAGTTTCTTCATTGCACTTTCTGCTGGGGATTTGATTATCTGTTAGCTTACTAGTTTGTTTCCTCCCATAAATTCTATGAAATCAGGAGCCTTGTTTTCTTGTTCATCACTAAATGCCCCCCAAACACGACACTTAACGGAACGAATACCTGCTGGAAGAATGAGTGGGGTGAAGCTTAAAGCGGCATCATGGGAAACTCACCGGAACTGGGTCTCCTGAGCCAAAGCCAGAATAGCTGTGGCTCCTCCAAACGAATGCCCCATGACAGCCACACAGCTCATGTCGATGCTGCCCTGAGGAAAGCAGAGAACTTAGCCACGTCAGACACTGAGGAGTGCGTTCTGAGGACTTCTTCAGGGGCGAGAAGAGAAACAGCGAGATGCACCATTCAGCAAGTGGGTTTCCAGCACCTCCACCCGTCCCCACCACAGGAAAGAACCTGCCGACTGGAGAGCAGCCTGTCAGGCAGTCCCTGGACTGGACAGCCTTCTGAAGGCAGAAATTCCAAAAACCATGGTTCCCATCTTTATTTTTGCCATCTTAACACCTACCCTGTTTCCCCGAAAATAAGACAGTGTCTTATATTAATTTTTGCTCCCAAAGATGCGCTAGGTCTTGTTTTCAGGGGATGTCTTATTTTTCCATGAGGAAGAATATGGTACACATTTATTGTTAAATGAAAATAAAGGAAATTTATGACCTGTATACGGTACAGTAGTACGGTAGTTGTCAACACAAACCAGACAAACTGTGAATCCTATAGAATCAAGAATTTACTCATTTATTCAATGACAATCATGTCATCATCTTCTGGAACATCATCATAACAATCCAATTCCTGGATTTCCTGGTGAATTTCTTGTGACTCCATTTCTTTCAGAATCCGTGGACCAAATCTCTTATGTTTAGCCTAGGGGGGCCTTATTTTTGGGGGGATGCCTTATATTTCACTCAGAAGGAAACCTGTAAGTAGGTCTTATTTTCGGAGGATGTCTTATTTTTGGGGAAACATGGTACAATGCCTGGAGTAGAGTAGACATTCAAATATTTATAAATAGCCCAGCCAATGTGGCTCAGTGGTGGAGCATTGAACTATGAACCAGGTGGTCACGGATTGATTCCTGGTGAGAGTAGATGCCTGGGTTGCCGGCTCAATCCCCGGTGCGAGGTGTGCAGGAGGTAGCCAATCAGTGCTTCTCTCTCATATTGATGTTTCTCTCTCTCTCTCTCTTCTTCTCTGAAATCAATACAAATATATTTTAAAACTATTTTCATTTAAAAAATATCTATGAATAGATGAATAGATAAAAATTATGTGATTCCCACCTGACCCATCCATCTAAGACCACATTGCGAGTAAGAACTCTCTCCATTCGGTAGACCCCTGTCTTAAAACCGGTCCAACGGGATGACACACGCACCAAGTCAAGGGCGGAATGGGGGAGCTCCTGCTGCCCGTCCACTCTGCTCTGAAGGAAGACTTGCCTGTAGAGAAACCAGCTCGGGTTCTATTTCCTCTGGGTCTCTGTCCGGCTTTTCTGCAGCGGAGTGAGTGTGCTTGCAGGAACATGCTCTGCACGCACCTATTTCCAGCTGCCTCCAGAAGCCTTCAAGGCAGTTACATAACGAGCCACGGCAGCTGTCTGCTACGGGGCGTGGGGGGTCTCTATAGGCTTCGCTGCCCAGCCTCTGGCCCAAGGTTTTATATTTAAATTCTCCCCCTTTACTCAGTGCCTCCGGATCAACAACTTGGTTGGTGGCCTGTTCAGGTATTGGTATAGGCTAATATAACTCTAAAATCAGGAGTAGCCCACCCAGTGGTTGAGCATTGACCTATGAACCAGAAGATCACGGTTCAATTCTAGGTCTGGGCACACGCTGGGCTTGCGGGCTTGATCCCCAGCAGGGGTCGTGTGAGAGGCAGCCAATTGATGACACTCTTCATCACTGATGTTTCTCTCTTTCTCTCCCTTCCTCTCTGAAGTCAATAAAAATATTAAATAAAATCAGGAATATACCAAGAACTCTCCTACCTACCACATTCCCTTTCCACTCTTTGCACCCAAACAGGTAAGTTTCTTTCATGTCTTTGAAGAACTTACTGACATATATATAAACATGAATATATATTTCCTCCCCCCCCCCCTTTTTAAAAAAATATATTTTATTGATTTTTTTACAGAGAGGAAGGGAGAGAGATAGAGAGCCAGAAATGTCGATGAGAGAGAAGCATCGACCAGCTGCCTCCTGCACACCCCCCACCGGGGATGTGCCCGCAACCAACATACATGCCCTTGAACGGAATCGAACCAGGGACCCCTCAGTCTGCAGACTGATGCTCCACCACTGAGCCAAACCGGTTTCGGCTACTTCCTCCCTTTTTTACACAAGGGATATATCTTATCCTTTTGCATAATGATGTTAATACATAAAGAGCTTCCTTATCTTTTTTTTTTTTTTTTTACAGCTACATTTGATTTCACCATTGGTACAAATAGCTAGTGATCTCCAAATCTGTTCCTCTTCTTCCTGGACACATTGCTATACTCTATTTCCCAGCAGTTAGATGTGGTCTGTGGCTCTAGCCAATAGAAAGTGAGTGAAAATGAAATCTCTAGTTCCAGGCCTAGTCCATGCACACTCCGTTGTGCACACCTCCTTGTCCTTTCCGGTTCCTGGCTTAATGCACACAGTGAAGCTGGGTTTCATAAATGGGAGAGGGTAGAGTATAGGATAAAAGTAGCTTGGATCCCTGAGCTCCCATTCTTGGACTTTATGTGGGAGAGAAATAAATTTCTATTGTGTTAAGCCCCTGAGATTTGGGATTTATGTGTCATAGCAAATAGCATTATCCAAATGAATATAGCCATTGTTCCATCATCTATTGAACTAGCTCCCTTATTAGTGAACATTTAGGATACTATCAATCTTTTACTATTATAAACAACACTGGAATGAATAACCTTGCACATCTATCATGTTGCATGGGTGCAGGTATCTGCAGAATAAATTTCCAAAACTGGAAATTACTGTGTCAAAAACCAGCTAACATTAATAGCTATTGCCAAACTGCCCACACATGGGGCAATCTGCACTCTCACAGGCAACGTAGGATTATATCTACTTCCCTACAGCTTTGCAACAAGAATGAGTAACCAATTTTTCAGATCTTACTCATTTACCTTATTTATTCTGAATTTCTCCAAAAGGCTACCTCTTAACTAACCCAACTATACTGTAGCCTGCCATTCCCCAGTGACATGCAGGCCTGGGCCTCTGCCTGGGAGCCAGCTTATCTGGTGGGGGCCGGTAAAGCACTCCGGATTCCAGTTCTGCCTTCCCTACAGGTGCCTCCTTCTAGAAGACTTCACCAAAGCCTTTAAAAGATATTTTCTAAAGAGGCTTTGGGGCACACAGCACAGTCTTTGGGATCCAAAAGCCCAACCTAAATTTTAACTCTACCACTCACTTAGCTGTGTAACATTGGGAAACTACTTAGCTTCTTTGATCTTTTATTTCTTTCGATGTGAAGAGATGCTTATGCTTACTGCATACATTTGTGTAAGCTGCTCTTACATAGTAAATACTCATAAAACAGTAACTGTTATTTTATATATATTTGCTAAATAAAAAAAAGGCCACAAAACTGCTTAGAGTAAATAACATTAGGTTTTCATATATATATTAATATATATACTAGAAGCCCAGTGCACGACATTTGTGCACTGTGGGGCAGGGGAGTCCGGGCCCTCTCGCAGGTCAGTACCCCTTTAGGCCGTGCCCCTGTGGCAGACATCCCCCTAGGAGGGGTCCTTATTGCTGCTGCACTCGCCAGCTGAGAACCCAGCTTCTGGCTGAGCATCGCTCCACCTGTGGGAGTGCACTGACCACCAGGGGGCAGCTCCTGTGTTGAGCATATGCCCCCTGGTGGTCAGTGCATGTCATAGCGACTGGTCATTTTGCCATTCGGTCGATTTGCATATTAGCCTTTTATTATATAGGATACATATACAAATATATATATTTGTGTACATATATATATATATATATATGTGCGTGAGTGTGTGTGTGTGCGTGTGTGTGTGTGTAATGCATTAAAAGAACTGAAAGGCCAAACATCAAAATATCAAAAAATTTTGTTTCTTTTTCTTTATGCTTTTGTATGATTTCTTAGTTTTTTAGTGCTTGAGCTACTTTTGAAATTGGGGAGAAAAAGAACTGGGTGGGGAAGAAAAAAGTATCTAATAGGCACCAAACAGCAATTTCTATCCTTTTGAGGATTCTGAGGGTTCCCACAAAGAAAGGTGTTAGCCTCAGGAAACAGGACTTTGGGGAAGGGACCATCTCTCCCTCATCCACGTGGCCCTGTGGCTGTCAGAGTGGGTGTGTAACTGAGGCAGGCCAATCAGATTATCCTATCCCTTTGGCACAGTGATTGGCCCAGGGCAGGCAACTGATTCAAGCAGGGCCACCGCCTTCCCCAGGTTAGTGGAAGTTAGCAGAGTCTCTTTTCCTTTTACATCTGGAGCTGAGCTGAAATGCAGGCTTGGCTACCAGCAACCTTTCTTGCCTAATGAAGCCCACATACATGGAGTGGAACTGAGACAGAAGGAAGAGGAGTGACAGAGCTTTGATGGCAATGTTTGAGACACTAGATCTAACTACATGGCTCAAAGCCAGTCTGCCTTTGGTCTTTATAGTTACTCGAGTCAGTAAATCTCTCTTAGTTTAAGCTGGTAAGTTAGGTAAGTTCCTATTACGTGTAACCAAGAAAGTCCTGATGAATACATGAGCTCAGGTCATACCTTCAAGGTCATCAGATCCAACCCATCAGCCAAGATGTTGAGGACAGGCTCCCCAGCAGTGACCTTTTGCAGGATCTTCAGCACCCGAGTACACTCATCTGCCCGCTGATACACCTGCAAGAGAGACAGTCCCAGTGGGAGCTGGGAACACTGCACAAACCATCCCGAAGCACTTACTCCCCTACAGAGCCAAGGAAGGATGTGGGGGGAGTTTGCCCTCCCATGTCTCAGCAAGCTCCTGGGCCCCACATGCTGAGAAAGGCTCAGCTCCTTCTTAGCAGCTCACATAAGCATCACCTAATGCAGGGGTGGGGAATGTCTGGCCCCTGGGTCACAGAAGGCCTGAGAAATCGTTTGGTCTGGCCCTGCCAAGGCCTTAGGGGTGAGTTAATTAAATGTTTGTCCAAATACAGCAGGCTAATTTTTAAGTTGATCACATGGTATGGCCTGTAAATTAATACCCAAATGGTCCTTGGCAGAAAAAAGGTCCCCACCCCAGACCTAATGGTTCAATAGGGTCCGACCTGCTATTCACACTCTATCCACATAACCTTGGGATTGTCAGGAGGACCAAATAAGACAATGTATATGAAAGCGCTTTGAAAACAAAAGGACATAAGGGTGCTGTTATTATCAATCCAGTACTGGATTCTACTTATCATTGATTGCCACATCTACTGTTTTTGTCTGCCTAGCACTTACCAGCTCCACTTCTGTTAACCCTGCCTTTGAGGATTGCCCCCCACCCTGCAAACAAAAATAAAATCTAACCATGTTTTCCTGATGGGAACTTCTCACTTTGGTACTTCTCCCAGCCTAGGAGTCTCTCCGGGATTTTTCATACTGAAGTTTGGGGCAGGGGTAGGAACTGAGGGAGCGACCTCAAACAGTCCCGTTCTCTCAGATGGCGAGGTCAGACATATGCAAGCTCAAGAACTGTGGCTCTAACTTTAAAGTGGGTCAGTTTGCAGATGAGACCAACCAGCAGAGGACACAGGGATGAGAACGAAAGACAAGTCCTGAGGGCATCTGAGGCTGCTTCCAGTGGTCTTGCCCATCCTATATGCCCACTTACATAAGCCTATCTATTCTCCTTCTTGCCCAGCAAGCATAAGTTGGGTTTCTGTCACTTGCAATTATGAACAGTCTTGATTAATACCCCGTTTCTCCTATTGATGTGCAAGCGCAGACTCACACTGCACCTGAGATTTCAAGAGAGGAATTTGGATAAGTCTTCTTAGTGAATGTAGTACAGGGAGGACAGGCTTATTCATTCTTCTTCCCTAATTGGCACAAACCTACCTGGCAATTCCGAACGTGAAATTCCTTTTCCCCTTCCTTAACTGGACGGTAGGGAATCCATTCCTCCTCCAGCAGCTCATTCGAGGGCTGCTTCTCTTCAGAGACCTGCTTGCAGATACAGGTGGTGGCAGCTGACCCATCCCTGAAATACACGTCACCAGAGAGAAACCCGGAGACACTCTTGAGCTTATTTCTCCCCTTTACCAAATCTTCCTTTTCACCCCAAACACTCTGGCTCATCCTTCAGCTGCTAGGGGAGGAAAATCTAAGGGCATGCATAGGAGAGTAGAAAAAACATGGATTTTGAGTTTGAACTCTAACTCAGCTGTGTCACTTTGAAAAAGTTAATATATTTTCTTTCTCTTTTTAAAGCTTTACTACCACTGATTTAAGTGTATTTTTTAATTGATTTCAGAGAGGAAGGGAGAGGGAGAGACAGAAATATCAATGATGAGAAAGAAGCATTGATCGGCTGCCTCCTACACACCTCCCATTGAGGATCAAGCCCACAACCAGGACATGTGCTCTGACTGGGATTCGAACCCCAACCTCCTGTTTCATAAATTAACACTTAACCACTGAGCAACACTGGCCAGGCTATTTAACATCTTTGAACCTTGGTTTCCTCGTCTTTAAAAGGGATATGATACTGGCACAGTTGCTGTGAGGATAAAGGGACTAACCTATATCCTAGCCCACAGCAGGCACCCAATCCACCACAGTTCACTGCGACTGCCATTGCTCACCTGTGCTCTGGCACAGCCACCACAAAGCCGTGGGAGGCCAGCTCCATGCAGAAGGCGGAATATAGTGTCCTAGAGATTCAGGAAGGCACAGAGAAAAGTGATCAGAAAAATGGCCCACCCTTTGCCCCCATTCTAACTATTCTGCTAGTGACCATCTCAAAAGACTGCATGGAGGAAGTTCCATTTGTAGCAGACCTTTTCAATGTTCTTTCTCCAGCCAGAATATCCCTGCTCTCACCACAGTCCCCACCGTCCTCCGCTAGGAAACACATGCAAATCAATCTATGGTGTCTTCCAACCCTACACACACACACACACACACACACACACACACGCACACACACACACACTCCATCCCACACCATCCCCAATACAGTTTGGCTACTTTAGCAACTGCATTTTTTTTAATACTTTTTAAAAAAATATATATTTTATTGATTTTTTTTACAGAGAAGAAGAGAGGGAAAGATAATTAGAAACATCGATGAGAGAGATGTGGGGATGTGCCCGCAACCAAGGTACATGCCCTTGACTGGAATCGAATCCGGGACCCTTCAGTCTGCAGGCCGATGCTCTATCCACTGAGCCAAACCGGTTTCGGCTAGCAATTGCATTTTTATTGTTATATTGTATGTTTCCCAAATTAGTTGGTAAATACCTTGAGGACAGGGATTCTGGCTATTTCTTTAATATGCAAATCTGCATCTGAGATTTAGCATGTGGAATTTTTGTCTGTCCAACTTTAACAGAAAAAAAGAATATGGCAGACACTGCTAACTGCCCATCCCAAACACTTTCTTCCTCCTTGATAAAATAATCTAATGTCAGCTAAAGACATTGTCATGCCATCAAAATATGACATTTCCCAGCCTCCTCTACAACCAGGTTTGATTGTAATTAAATTCTAGTCCAGCAAAATAAATATACTGGCCCAGTTGGCATGGCTCAGTGGTTCAGCACTGACCTTTGAACCAGGAGGTCATGGTTCAATTCCCATTCTGGTCAGGCCATATGCCCAGGTGATAGGCTGGATCCCAGGTATGGGGCAGGCAAGAGAAAGCCGATCAATGATTTTCTCTCTCATCATTGATGTTTCTATCTCTCTCTCCCTCTCCCTTCCTCTCTGAAATCAATAAAAAAAAAATAACTAAAAAATTAAATGTAATACTACCCTGAGTAATTTAAAATTCTCTAGTAGATATATTTCTAAAAGTAAAAAGAGACAGGTAGAATTAGTTTTAATAATATATGTAACTCAATGCAGCCAAACATGATCACTTCAACATACAAACAAAATTTAAAGCTCTAGCCAGTTTGGCTCAGTGAACAGAACATCGGCCTACAGACTGAAAGGTCCCGGGTTCGATTCTGGTCAAGGGCACATGCCCGGGTTGCAGGCTCGTTCTCTGCATTAGGCATGCAGGAGGCAGCCAGTCAATGATTCTCTCTCATCATTGATGTTTCTCTCTCTCTCTCCCCCTCTCCCTTCCTCTCTGAAATCAATAAAAATATTTTTTAAATTAAAAAATAATGTGGTGTTTTATTACTTTTGAAAAATACAAAATCTTTGAAATTCAGTGTATATTTTACATTTATAGCACATCTCATTTTGGACCAACCATATCTCAAATGTACAATGGCCATATGTGGCTAGAAGCTATTATAGTGGACAGAGCAGCTCTAGTCATTGGGACTCAAGCCGTTGTGTCATACTCGAGGAAATCTCAAAAAGAAGAGCACACCCTTCCCATTGCTCAGAATATGGATGTAAAGGCTGGAGCTAAAACAGCCACCACGGGCCATGAGATATCTTCATAAATGGAAGCCACCATGGCAGTGCAAGACGATAAAAGAAGTCTGCTTCTCTGAATACTGCCCGGAGCTACCATATCAGCCGTCTACTTCCAGCTGTCTTTTATCTGCCAAAGAAATCAGTGTCCTTTAGGTCACTATTATTTGGGGGGTTTCTGTTAAATACAACTTCCCCATGTCCTAACAGATTCAGGGAGGTCAGTTGGGGCAAGTATGCCTTTCCGAGCCTGTCTGCTCTTCTGTAAAATATGCACCCTCCCCTGCCTGCCCCAAAGGACGGTGTGGAAGCCAAAGGAGACAACGGCACATTGCAAATGGTTAAGTGGCGTTGAAAGCACATTCCCTGCCCTGGGATGGGAAACATGAGTCTATGGGACGTGGGTTTCAGAGCTTGAATCAACCACAGAAACTACGAAAGGAAACCATGTCCCTTTCCCTCCCCTTTCCTTGGAATTTTGCTCAGGCTAACAAAGAGTATTTATTTATAACGAGCTCACAGGTCTACTGAGGTGTGAAGTCTCAATACAGATTGAGACCAAAAAAAGATCAGTCTCCAAAGTCATGTGCTTTCCCGCTGACTATATGAAATACCTGTGAGCGTGAGAGAGAATGTTTCTTAGCTTCTTTCCCCACTAGACTACCTTTCTGAGGGCAGGTACTCTTATTCACTACTGAGTACCCAATCCCAGCATAAGTCCTGGCACACAGCAGATACTAATTTATTGACCAAGAAAGCAATAGGGAAAACCATCTACTTGTCTTTCTACCCTTATCTCACATCAACTCCCCACTTCCTGCCAAAAGCTATAGTCATGTGAGTCCATATTCAGGCTCCTCTAGTGAATGTGAATTCCTTGTTTTTATATCTGTATATCCCACCTTCCTCTCACACCAAAAGGCTGGCACAGAGCAGGTGCTCCACAGGTATTTTCTGAATGAATGAGAACCTAGAAAAACATAGCCGTTGTATTCATTCGATAAATATTTACTGGGAAACAACTACTGTCCAGTACTGCCCTCGGCCCTGGGAGAGAGAGAAGACAGGTATGGTCTCTGTCTTCATGGAGCTTACAAATACTAAAGAGTCTCCGGTAATAGGGACCCTACAGTTCACCAGCCCGTGTTCCTCCAGCTAGAATGAAGAGAACTGTGTGTGTGCTCCTACTAGTCAGTCCAACTGAATCCTCACAGCTGCCCTGTGGGAGCAGCATCTGTCCCCATTTGACAGGTGAAGGAATTCTACAGCTACCCAAGCTCACACAGAGCACGGGGGTCTGGCTGAGACTTGGAGGTGAGGCTGAGAGCTCCACGAGGGCAGGAAGTGAGCCTCTCATTCAGTGCAGTCGTCCTTCAACATATGTTGAATAAATAACTATCTATATATATAAGGAGGTGATATGGTCGTAATGGTGTCCCAGTCATGACCGTTCAACAGGCTGTGTGAGCACAGGAGCTGGTGGGTGGGGACAGGGGCAGGACTTGTGCCACTGGGACAGGAAGCTACTGCAGGGCCTCTCCCACCCCCCATGGAGGCATGTGCATGATGCCCAGCCTGGAGGGGGGGCATCAGGATGGGGGCAGGGCCTTGGCAGAAAGCTCTCAGTACTCCTGCGCCGGGGTCTGAAGGTGTGGAGAGCAAGGGAGAGAAGATGGGCAGTTAGGGGCATTAGGCCAGGAGGGGAGAACAAATAGGCAGTTAGAGGGATCAGACAAGGAGGGGAGAGCAGTTAGGAGGATCAGGCCTGCAGGGGAGCAGTTAGAGGCATCAGGCAGGCAGGTGAGCACTTAGGAGCCAGTAATTCTGGATTGCAAGAAGAATCCCAGATTGGAGAGGGTGCAGGCCAGGCTGAGGGACACCCCCATCCCCGTGCACGAATTTCATGCACTGGGCCTCTAGTCTGACTATAAAGTTCAAACTCCTTCTAATATGCCTGTGCTGTTATGTTGAAAGAAAATCAGAAGTATTAACTTATATAAATGCTGGAACATGAGAAGCCCACTGAAAGGCTCCATCAGGTGAAAGGAACTTCAAAAAGGCCTTCGAGAGAAGGTGGACCCCAGGCCAGGGAATGAGGCAGATGGTAGGTAAGACAGCTGGCAGATGGAAATGTCTGTTTCTCTGCCCTTTCAGAGTAAGTCTCAACAGCTGTCACCAGGCAAGAAACATGGCAAGGTCTAAGGGGAAAAGGCTCTTACCTGAAAGCTCCCAGGCCGTGGGAGAAGATGATCAAAGGGTATCCAGAGTCCTTTCTCTTAAAGGGGCCATTCCAGCTAACAGGCAGGCGACAAGATCCTAGCAGAGACAGGAGCTATAGAATCTCTGGCTTCCCAAAAGCTGTAATCCCCTTTCCGGAGGACTATCATGAACCCCTGAGTAGCCCAGGGTAACCAATCACCTTTTCTGTATTCCCTGGACAGCATGAACACAACAGGAAATGGGAAGGTAAATTCGAATGGGAAGAAAGGGGGGTAAATCCCTGAGATGCCAAGGCAGTGGGTAGAGTTCCTGGTGGTGGGGTCACCGGATGGTTCAGTGTGACCCTCCCGAGAAGAGGAGAGAGCTGGAGGGGGAACTGCGGGAGACGGTGCGCTCTTTGGCAGTTAGGCACGTTTCTTTGCTCTCACAGCTGGCAGAGTGGGAATCACATGTCGGATGAATGAGTAATAGCCACCATTTATGGAACACATTCTGTCTCAGGCCCCGCTCTAGAGGCTTTACCTACAGCCCAGCCCAGAAGCTGCAAAGGCAGGCATTCAGGCAGGTTACATAACGTGCCCAAGCCCTACAGCTAGTAAATGATCACGTCTGGACTCAAATCCAGGACAATCTAACTCTAGAATAAAAGCTCTTATTATATAACCCTCTTCCAGCTCTCCGCACCATGCTGGCGGATGGATGTCCCGCTGCAAAGGCGCTGGACAAAGCGCGCTGTAAGGTACTGCGTCTCCCTGGCGATTTCCTAGGACCATAACTAAGAAGCTGGGAAGCGTCTGGGGGCGAGGCCGGCTCTCACCCACAGCCAGGTTGAAGAGCAGACCTCCCCAGCGCTTATTGAACTGCAGGTAATCGGCCAGGCCAGCGCAGTACTCGTAGCGGGGGATCCACAGGGGCTGCTCCATGGTCTCTGACCGGCAGGGGTAGAAGAGTCGGAAGAAGCTCCCCTGTGGGAAGAAGAGAGCGGCTCTCACAGCCAGAGGCCCAAGCGCTGCTAGATTTCCCAGCAAACACTCTGCGGGCGTCTGGGGCAAGAGCAAAGCACCGACATGGCAAAACTTGAGCTTCAATTCATGAACCTGAATTTTGCATTCAGAAAATCCAGGAAGAAGCAATTTTATTTTTAGAATACATATAAGGCTTATGTTATTTCAAATAGCCAAACTGTATTTTGAATTACATCTGGGGGCACCAAAGCATTTTCAGTGCTTGGGACATTGAAAGATCTGGCAAATGAGCCCAGGCCTGGAGGAACCAAATGAGTTGCGTGCTGAATGGGGTGGCACTGAGGGGTCACCTCCAGGCTGGCCCTTCAGAAGCAGCAGCACACTCCTCACACAGCAGCAAGAGCTCACCAGGAAGTGTGTGCTTCTCACAAGAGAGAGGGGAGTCCGAGGGCCAGCAGGGAAGGACCCAGGAACTCTTGGGGGGAAAGTCTGGAACCAAAGCAGCAGGGGGGAAATAAATGAAGACAGGAGAGGAGGAAAAGGGGCTGTCTTCCCATCCAGGGTGGGAGTCATAGGCCAATGGCAAATGGTCCACTGCTCTCCTCTGACACTCAGATTAGTAGATCGGAAACCTTTCCAGGATTAGGCATCTGCTCTCAAGATGGGAGCAAGGATCTGAAAGCTGCCATTGAAGGCAGAGCCCCCTTGCTGCCCAGCTGGAAAAAGAACTCTGCTGAGAGGTTCATCCCTATGAGAGGCTCCTCACTGAAAGAAGTAAGAAAAATCCCGGAGGACAGACCTGGGGGCTCTACAACGGAATCCAGACCAGCTCTAACCCAGCTCTCTCCCCGGCCCTGGAATTGCAATGTCAGAATGGCTATTGGTCAGTCACACCGCAGGCAGAAGCAGTGTAGGTGCCCAGGGTTGGAACTGCAGACACTTACCTGGGGACTCTGGCCCTCCATCACATCCCCGCAGCCCACGAGGTGGGGTCCTGTGACAGGTGGAAAGCCCACGGACTGGTTGACCCCCATCTCATCAGCAGTTGAATCGAACGGCTTGAGTAGTGCTGACCTTGATGCTGGAGGGTGGAACACAGAACAAGCTCTCGCTGGTTCCCTCTTAGCTTCCTGTTGCTGTCATCTGCCCCCACCCCCCCACCTCTCCTTATCACCCCATCTCCCTGCCAGGGGAGCTCTTTCAGTCTTTCACATCGTCTGCTTTGCTACCCTGCCTTTGCCAAGATTTTGATGTTGTTGTTGATGGGGGAGGGGGTGGTAAGAAGATGTAATTGCTGCGAGAATTTAGCACAAACCTTGTCCTCATGAGGCAAAGAAGAATAACTACTTAGACATATATTACTGTGTCAGCATTGAACTAAGATCTTTACATAAACTACCTCATTTCATTCTCTCAACAAGCAGCTGAAGAAGGTGCTTAGTCACTAAGACCCTGTTAAGAGATGAGGAAAATAGGGCAGAGGGAAGTTGAATAATGTGCCCAAGTCACACTGCTTACAGGTGGAAAAACACAGGTCTGTCTAATCCGGACCTGAGCTCTCAACCCTTACTGATCCTGCTCATGTGAAACAGTTGACCTTCGAGCAACATGGGTTTGAACCACACAAGTTCGCTTATACCTGAATTTTTTTTTTCAATAAATATACAGTCAACCCTCCATCCTCAGATTCAACAAACTGCAGATCCAACAACATTTTCTATCTGTGTGTGGGAATCTGCAGGTGGGAGGGCTGACTGTGTGCATTGCTTTACCATTTTATATAAGAGACTTGAGCAGCTGCAGATCGGGGAGGGGGCTGGGGTCCTGGAACCAATCCCCTACAGATGCTGAGACACAACAGTAATTGAGTTTGAGGGAGTCAAAAGTTGTGCATGAATTTTGACTGCATGAGAGGTGGGTAGCCTTAATCCCCTCGCATTGTTCAAGAGCCAACTGTATATTTATAGAATCACTGACTTAAACTATTGGTTATAAAGGTGGCACTTATGCTGGGCCTTGAAACACAAGGAAGATGTAGAGGTGGGGAAGGAAAAAAAAAACATTTCTAGACAGGACATAATAAAAGAGCAAAATGGGCAGAAATAGGAAATTGGATGATGAGGGCAGTAGTTCAATGGGAGCCTTCAATGTGGCAGCTGCGCACGCTTCTGCCTAGAAGACATTCCTGTAACTTGGCTGCTTCTGCACTGGGGCCAGTGCCATTACTCCCCGTCCCTCTTCAATCTCATCACCACCAGCACCATCATCATTACACTTACTCTGTGCCAGGAGCTACACTAAATGCTTTACATGAATTATTTAATTGAATCCTTTCAACAATCCTCTGAGATACTGTTATCTCCTCTTACAGATGAGGAACATGATGCATGATAAAGTTGGGTAATTTATCCAAGAACATACAGCTAGCAGAACCTGAATCTGATCATGGGTAATATGGCTGCCCGTGTGGAAAGGATCGTCACTCTCCATATCCATTCTATCTTGCCCTCTAACACAATAGCTTCGGGATCTGGTTGTGGCCGACTGATTCCTAACCTTTGGGCCTTAATTGATCTGAGCCAATCAGCAGTCCTGGTATCCCCTGGTCACATAAAATGATCCGATCAGAGTAAAGCCCAAGACTTTGGTTTGATGGGTGAAAGGTGGAAAAAGCTTTGTTTTGAACTAGAGTGATGTGCAGATCTGAAGCCCTGAATTGGCTGTTGTGGCCACTTTGCTACCTTGAGGATGAAGCTACCTGCAGAGGATGGCAGAGCTAAGAGAATCAGAGAAAGTCACATTCGTGCAGGTATTAAGAATCACTGGAATAGACTACACCTGAAGCCTGACCCAATCCTAGATTTTCCAGTTACATAAGTCAATAAATCCCCTTTTTTGTTTAAACCAACTGAATTTAGATTTCTATTGCTTGAACCAAAAGCATCTAAACTGATACATTGACACCCAGCCAGTGTGGCACAGTAGTTGAGCATCAACCCATGAACCAGAAGTTCATGGTTAGATTCCCAGTCAGGGCACATGCCTAGATTTTGGGCTCTATCCCCAGCAGGGGGTGTGCAGGAGGCAGGTGATGGATGATTCTCTCTCTCTTTCTCTCTCTCTGAAATCAATTAAAACACACACACATTTAAACAGTTCTAAGCCCACATCTCTTTATTTTACTTGTTTGTTTATTATAATTTTTATTAATTTTAGAAAGGGAGGGAAAGAACATCAACGATGAGAGAGAATCATTGATCAGCTGCCTTCTGCACGCTCCACACTAGGGATAGAGCCTGCAGCCCAGGCATGTTCCCTTGACCAGGAATCTAACCATGACCTCCTGGTCATATAGGTTGAAGCTCATCCACTGAACAATGCTAGACGGGCCCTAAGCCCACATTTTTAATCATTACATTACTCTGAGATAGATCAGAAAGTTCAATTCATAAAAAATAAAAAAATAAAAAGAAGAAGAAAGTTCAAGTCAAAGCAATAAGAAACCTTAGCCCTGGCAGGTGTTGCTTAGTAGTTAGACCATTGGCCCATGCACCAAAGGATCATGGGTTCAATTCCAAGTCAAGAGCATGTACCTGGGTTGTAGGTTTAATCCCCAGGCCAGATGGGGCGCACACAGGAGGCAATCAATCAATGTGTCTCTCTTACATCAATGTTTCTAATGTTTCTGTTTCTCTCTTTCTCCCCCCGCCCCCCAACTCCCTCCTTCTCATCCATTCTCTCTAAAAGTCAATGGAGCCCTATCCAGTTTTGCTCAGTGAATAGAGCATCAGCCTGAAAACGGAAGAGTCCCAGGTTCAAGTCCAGTCAAGGGCACATGCCCAGGTTTTGGGCTCAATTCCTAGTAGGAGGCATGCAGGAGGCAACCGATAAATGATTCTCATCACTGATATTTCTATCTCTCTCTCCCTTTCCCTTCCTCTCTGAAATCAATAAAAATTATATATTTTTAAAAGTCGATGGGGCCGAAACCGGTTTGGCTCAGTGGTAGAGCGGTGGTCTGCAGACTGAGGAGTCCCGGGTTCGATTCCAGTCAAGGGCATGTACCTTGGTTGCGGGCATATCCCCGGGAAGGGGTGTGCAGGAGGCAGCTGGTCGATGTTTCTCTCTCATCGACGTTTCTAGCTCTCTATCTCTCTCCCTTTCTCTCTGTAAAAAATCAATAAAATATATTTTTAAAAAATAAAAATAAATAAATAAAAGTCAATGGGAAAAATTTCCTTGGGTGAGGATTAACAAAAAAAAAAAAAAAAAAGGAAGAAGAAGAAGAGAACTTAAGAGATAATTTTCATCAATCCTCCTCACAATCATCTTCGCCCTCCCCCACCTCCCCACTGGCCCAGTTACCTACATGTGCTTTCCTGATGAAGAAGTCAAGATCCAACTTGGTTAAGTGAGCAGTTCAAGGTCACAAGCAGAACTATTATCACACATAGATCTCCTGATTGCCAACTGTCTGGTCCAGTAGAAAACCCCAACCAACCAATAATCCTAGTGTCAATCTACTTAACTTTGGAAGATAATGACTTCCTTTCTATTATAGACTTCCTTTTTCTGAAGCAAATTTAAAAGTAAAACCCAATTCTTTTTAAGAAGCTGAGCTAAGGGCATGTCCCTGGGTTGCAGGTTTGATCCCCAGGCCAGATGGGGCATGTGCAGGAATGGACTATGGCTACATATGCCAGAAATGACTGATGCAATCGGTGGACTGTGTAGCCTGTGAAATTGCATGTGTGCTGCTTAGTCTCAGACATGACCTTTCCCCTGTTGTTGACGGCATACAAAAGGAAGACCTACACAAAGGCACAAGACACATGCCACCCACATGACAGTGAAGCAGCAGAGTTCCAACTGCCATAAAAAAGGCCAACAGTGCAGGGTCAGATAAACAGTGCAGTTCTCAGAAAGAGAGCTTCTTGAGCTCAGGAGTTGAGCCCTAGCTCCTTTGCTGCCTAGCTTCCTTACCTTGGGCAAGTTATCCGATCTCTCTAAGCCCGATTCCCCATCTGTACAATGAGAATACTACCCATCTTCACAGGGTTGCTATGGGGATAAACGACATAATGCATTTAAAGCACCTAGTGTAGTCCTTGGCTCTTAGAAAGTATCCAGGAAATATCTATTGATTGACTGAAAAGTAGAAATAAGAGTTGGCAACTGAGTGGATTTGGGAGTCAAGGGAGAAGGAAGAGCCAACTAGGAGTCAGGTTTCAGAACTGGGTAGAATGATAGCAGCTTCTTATGGGAAGAGGTTTTGGTCTTACCCTACAGAGTACAGTGCTTGGGATTGGAATCAGAATATAAAATGGGGGCACAGTAAAACTTAAATTAAAAAATTGATAGAGCCCTAGCCAGTTTTGCTCAGTGGACAGAGCATCGGTCTGCGGACTGAAAGGTCCCAGGTTCAATTCGGGTCAAGGGCACATGCCCAGGTTGCAGGCTCAATCCCCAGCAGGAGGAGTAGAGGAGACAGCCGATCAGTGATTCTCTCTCATCATTGTTGCTTCTATCTCTCTCTCCCTCTCCCTTCCTCTCTGAAGTCAATAAAAATATTTTTTTTCAATTAATATCGCATAGGGCCTGGTACATTTGAAGTGCTCATAAAATGTTAGGAATTAATTAACAATGCTATGTCTCTCTTTTATCATCCCAAGCCAAGGTCTCTAATTTTTTTTTTTTTTTCTGGATTAAAGTCTTTGGCAAAATGCATTATTTTGCCAAAGACTTTAATGCCTGAGACAGCCCTGCAAGAGCACAATCTGCAGACCAGGCACAGAAGAACCCAGAGGGAAGGGATAAGGCTTAGGCCGCAGCTGTCCATCTCCTGCGGGGCCCGTTTCCAGGCAGCAGAAGCCTCCCTCCGCCAGCTGTGTGGACTTCTCAACTCTGACTATTTCAGGCCCGCGTCCAAGAGAAGCTCTTCTCTGGAGCCGCCTTTCAGGGAACGCTCTCTGGGGACTGAGAGCTCATTAGTCTGACCTTTGGTCTCTGGAGGAAGTGAGGAAATATCATCCTG